ATGATCTCTCCATCTAGATTAGGTTCTTCTCTATTCTACCCACTGCATGGTCCTGTAGCACCCTCAAGTTTTCCTCTAGAGATCCTTTCACAGCTATAATTGTATATGTAAGCATATAGTCACATGTGCCAGTATTTGTCTGATGTCTTTAATGTTTCTTAAGTGCAATCTCCATGAGAACAAAGATACATGTTTTGTTCACCTTTATATTCCCGATCACTGGTAAATACTGTGTTGGACGACATGTTCTGTAGCTGTGGTGGTCTTGCTAACACTTCATTCTAGAATATAGCTGACTTGCCACCCCACCCAATCACAAGCAGGTCTGGACCAACAGGAGACCTTAGGTCTGCCAGTAACTGTCTGTGTGACCTTGGGTCAGTCACTACCTGGGCATGGAATAATAAAAATTTTCTCAGTTTGCTTTTTGTAAACAAACCAACTCTAGTCTTCCAACTTTTATTTCTAGCCAGCTTAATAAAGTAGGTTTGCATGCTTTGTTTCCCTTTAGAATTATCTTAGTGGACTCTTTTAACACATGTATCTAAACACTATGTTTATTCCTTATTTCATGTGACAAAATTTTCTTTCAGGTATTTGCTTCCAAAGAATTTCAGAGAATAGCCACTCCATAAATTTAGTAAGGAGTAATAAAATTAATACACTACTCATCTTCAACGTCTTTTTTCCACGGATCACAGAAAGCTCTGCAAGTAACGGTAAGCTAAGTTTTGCCGCATCGTATTGAGATGGGAACTTTCTCAGTAGAACAGAAAAGCTAAGATGGAATTATGGAACCAGCTTGGAGAAATAGCACAATTAGTTTTGGTGGGAGGATAAAGACACAGAATTGCCATTTTAAAGTAATCTAAAGGACAACAGTCCATTTTATAAAAGCTTTGCAAAAATTAAGAGAGTGAATGATAATGCAATGGTTTAGTTTTCTTTTTGAAACAATCTAGTTATTTTCTCATAGTGAGTTTATACTATTTGTGTTTATTTTATATTAGGTGGTTTTTTAAATTAATTTTAAAATTAGTTAATACATAAACACATTTTAAAAACAAAAATGATATTTAAAGGAAGATATAACTTGCAAAGTCTTGCTCCCATCTGACTGGAGTGGGTTTAAGTGAGAGAGCAAAGATAGTCTCACTGCAAAGCGGGGGTAGAGATATTGGGCAGTGACTTTTTTGTGTGTGTTTTTTTCTGTTCTTTCTTTACTTTTTGTCTTTGTTATTCTATTTGCTATTCTTTTTTTTTTTTTTTTTCAGGTTATTTGCTTTTTGATAAGGGAAACCCCTATCTGAGCCTTACATTCACTTTTCTACTTTGCAGTGGATTTTCCTGGACTCTCCTTCCATGCTATCTGTGCTCCGTTGTCTCTTTCTCTCATAGATAAGAGCTAATTTAGACCTGCTGCATTTGTGGGTTGTTACATCTGCTTTTCTGTTGTCTGAGAGGGTGGCAAGGATAGGAATGAATGGGGTTTGAGGAGGAAAGAAAAAAACAGTGCTGTGGGGTATCCCAGCTGGGGAAAGTCACTGAAGACCTTCTCTTGTTAGTTAAAAGTTCTGTATTGAGGTTTGCTCTTCATAGCTGGAGATATATCTGATCCAGTGAGAAAATCCCTTGGATATCAGATTGTTCACTAGATTCCCAGTGAACCCAAGGCCTTCCTTTTCCTCAAAGACAAGCAGCCTTAGGCCATTAGTTCCTCCCCTGCCCTCTTCTCCCTGCTTGCCTGGCCTATGTCCCTCTGGGATATAGGTAGAAAAGGCATGGAAAAAATAAGTAAACCAGGAATTCATCCCATTTGTTCCTTCCCTGCTTGTTGCCTGCATTTCTCCTAGTTTTTTTTTTTTTTTTTTTTTAAAGAATATTTTTTTTGTCATGGTGGAGAGAGGCAACTGTTTAAATGGACTCCGGAATCTTTTGCGCTTCCTTTTCAACTCCCATTCCCCACACCAGATTAAGGGATATTGGTGAGTTTTCTCAGCACTTGATTATCTCACATTTTTGCCCACTGTACTGCTTCTGGAGGAGTCAATTAAAAGCTAGGATAAATTTCCAGAATCTTCTCTCTGTGCCTGTGATGGTTAATGTCATGTGTCATCTTGGCTAGGCTATGATTCTCTATGATTCTCAGTGATTTGGCAGATACTATATAATCACCTTCCATTTTGTGATCTGATGTGAGCAGCCAATGAGCTGAAAGAAGAGTTTCCTTGGGGATGTGGCCTGCCTCCAGTATATAGTGTAAATGGATGTTTTGCAAAGCTCACTTCTTTCTCAGCCTTGTACTCTTCTCATTGCCTGACCTCCAATTCATGGGATAGAAGCCTTCAGAAGTCTCTGGCCTGCTGCCTGACCTGAAGATTTTGGATTCACCAACCTCAGCAACCCTGTGAGCAGCTGAGGCCTCCAGTCTGCCACCTGACCTGCAGATTTGGGCCTTGTCAGGCCCTGCAACCACATGAGCCAGCAAAGGTCTTCAGTCTGCTGCCTGACTCACGGATTTGGGACTTGCCAGCCCCTACAATTGTGTCAGCCATTTCCTTTAAGTAAATTTCTGTCTCTCTCTATATATATATCAATGTATGTTTCACTGGTTTTGATCCTCTAGAGAATCCAGACTAAAACAGTGGATGATATTTTTAAACTGTTATGGTATAAAGTGGTGCTTTGCCTCAGTTTGGATGCTTCCGACATATTCTTTGCTGTTCTTACTTATTTTTGTACATTTTGTGAGCTTTGGAAGGAGGGAAATTTTATGGTCCTGTATGTTTGTTCCCAGCTTCTCTGTGAAATTGAAACAGAATTTACTGACAGCATTATTTCTATTTCCGTGTATTTTCAGCCATGTCTAGAAGTACTTATACAAGAGAACTGAGACAACTACGAAGACTGTTTGGACCAAAATCTATCTGAAACACCCAGATAATTGCAGGAAAATTTTTTTTTTTTATTTGAAAGTATTATGATAATAGCTTCGATTCTCTCCCCCACTTTGTGTAGGCACAAACTTAAGATTCTGAAATAGCATCCATAGCGCTGAGTTGAGACTGGCTTTGTGTTCTTCTGATCAATTAGAGTTAAGTTTTCATTTTTGTTTTTTAGCTCAAGTCCCATGTTGCTAGTCACACCTACCCATACAATGGTAGAATGTTGATTTTACTGGGAATAAAAACTTAAATGTGATCATAGGAATGACAAGGGCATTCTGTTGCACTAAAGGCAGACTTAGGAGGGAGATACTGATTTCCTATTGTGTAGAAGGCTAAGATGCTATGTAGATGAACTTCGAACTCTGATGATAGCACTGAATATCCTGTAAGCTTGTTAAGAAATCTTCCCATCATTTCTGATAGGGTTTGGTTCAAAGAACATTTACTCTCTGCTGTGAGGACATATCATTTCCACTTTAGGGACTGTTGTGGATATTGTGGATTGGATGTCCCTCAAGACCCATTGCAAGACACTTCTAGCCTCCCAAGACTCCATAGTATAATTGTCCAGCCTCACTTATAGCTATGGTTCAGGTATGGTTTAGATCAAATCCACTTACTCAGGACTTGACTGAAAACACTAATGAGATGTTCAATTTTCTCTAGGTATATTAACAAACATAGACAAAATTTAAAAATAAGAACACTGAGTTATGAAAGGACTGAGTTAGATCCTTTCTTTTACTTTCAACTTCTTTCTGTCCTTGTATTTAAAGTGTGTCTCTCATAAGCAGGATATATTTCCCCCCAGGTGATAGTTTTTGTTTTTAAATTCAAGCTATTAGTTTGTTTAAATTTAATGCAATTACAGATGTTATTTGTTTTTTTCATTAATTTTATATTGCTGTTGTCATTGTGATGTACTTGGTTTTATAATCATCAGGCTACTTTTTGTTTTCTTTTTTTATGTTTATTTTTTCGCTTCTTTCTTGTCTTTGTTTAGGTAATTCAATTTTTTAATTATTCTATTTTCCTCTCTATTGTCAGTTGTACAATTTTTACTATTGCTTTGATTTTTACCCTAGAGATTCTAGACTAAATACTGTCTAATACAAATGTATACTTTTACCACCTCCTTTCAGAGAACATGTGGACCTTGGAGCTGAGATCTGGAGTATTTGCTAGGTTCCTCATCCCTGGAATGTCCTGGGCTCCAATTTTTGTCTCTCAGAACTGTAAGTCTGCCAAAATCCTCTGCTTGGCTTCTCAGTGGCTTTCTACTTAACTTCTTAGTCTGTTGTCCTGTGTCACTAAAGAATTTGCAAGTGCATTGAGGGAGAAACCACCAAGTGTTGGACTTACTTCTCTATACTTCCCTTTTCACCAGGATCTTAGCCACTCAAATCCTTGACAGCTCCAAAGTCAAATTTTTGTCTCCCCAACACTTTGACAGCTTCAAAAGCTCTGCTGGCTGGCTTCTTCACCCCTAGCAGCTACCCACTGCCTTGACTTCCAGCCCCTTGCCAGCACCAAGTATCAACAAGTTATCAGGGAGAAAGCAACTTCTAGAGCTATGGATTGAATTGTGTCCCCAAAAAAGGTCTATCAATTTGGCTAGGCCATGATTCCCAGTATTGTGTGATTGTCCAGCATTTTGTCATCTGATGTGATTTTCTATGTATTGTGAATTCTACCTCTATGATTTTAATGCACCATACTTAATCTGTATGCTGAGCAAATAATCTGAGAAGCTGGACTATACAAAGAAGAACAACGTGCCATCAGGATTGGAGGAAGACTCATTAACAACCTGCGTTATGCAGATGACACAACCTTGCTTGCTGAGAGTGAAGAGGACTTGAAGCACTTACTGATGAAGATCAAAGACCACAGCCTTCGGTATGGATTACACCTCAACATAAAGAAAACAAAACTCTTCCTTTCAATTGTGTTCGCAGCCTCTGCCGCGCTGCAGTGGCTCTCTAACGCCAGCGCCGCCTCTAGCTCGCCGAGCTCCAGCCGAAGAAGGCGGGTAAGGGAGGAGGTGTCTTTACCATGGCTCATACAAAGCAGACAGCCCGCAAATCAACTGGTGGTAAAGCACCCGGGAAGCAACTGGCTACAAAAGCCGCTCGCAAGGGTGCGCCCTCTACTGGAGGGGTGAAGAAACCTCATTGTTACAGGCCTGGTACTGTAGCACTCCGGGAAATCAGACGTTATCAGAAGTCCACTGAACTTCTGATTCGCAAACTTCCCTTCCATCGTCTGGTGCGAGAAATTGCTCAGGACTTCAAAACAGATCTGCGTTTCCAGAGAGCAGCTATTGGTGCTTCGCAGGAGGCAAGTGAGGCCTATCTGGTTGGCCTTTTTGAAGACACCAACCTGTGTGCTCTCCATGCCAAACGTGTAACAATTATGCCAAAAGACATCCAGCTAGCACGCCGCATACGTGGAGAACGTGCTTAAGAATCCACTATGATGGGAAACATTTCATTCCTTAAAAAAAAAACAAAAACTCTTCTTCCTGTTATTGGTAGTTCTGAACGTTAGATATTTTTTTTCCATGAGGTCAAAAGGTACCTAAGTATATGATTACGAATGGAAAAATAGGGGACAGAAATCAGGTATTGGCAGTTTTTCCATTTCATTTGTGTGTGAATTTTTAATATAAATGCAGGGACACAAAGCATTAACGCAAGTCAAAACGTTTCAGTGAACAAGTTTCAGCAGTTCAACTTTATAACAATTATAAGTAAACCTGTGAAATTTTTCTGGACAATGCCAGCATTTGGATTTTTTTCAAACAAGTAAATTTCTTATTGATGGCAACTAAATGGTGTTTGTAGCATTTTTATCATACGGTAGATTCCATCCATTCACTCTACTTTTCTAACTGAGTTGTCCTACATGCAAGTACATGTTTTTAATGTTGTCTGTCTTGTGTGCTGTTCCTGTAAGTTTGCTATTAAAATACATTGAACGATTAAAAAAAAAAAAAAAAAAACTCTTCACAACTGGACCAATAAGCAACATCATGATAAATGGAGAAAAGACTGAAGTTGTCAAGGACTTCATTTAACTTGGGTCCATGGTCAACATCCATGGAAGCAGCAGTCAAGAAATCAAATGATGCGTTACATTGGGCAAATCTGCTTCAAGAGACATCTTTAAAGTGTTAAAAAGCAAAGATGCCACCTTGAAGACTAAGGTGTGCCTGACCCAAGCCACGGCGCTTTCAAACGTCTCATATACATGTGAAAGCTGGGCAATGAATAAGGAAGACCAAAGAAGAATTGACACCTTTGAATTATGGTGTTGGTGAAGAATATTGAGTATATCATGGTCTGCCAGAAGAGTGAGCAAATCTGTCCTGGAAGAAGTACAGCCAGAATGCTCCTTAGAAGCAAGGATGGCGAGACTTCATCTCACATACTTTGAACATGTTATCAGGAGGGACCAGTCCCTGGAGAAGGACAGCATGCTTGGTAAAGTAGAGGGTCAGGAAAAAAGAGCAAGACCCTCAAGGAGATGGACTGACACAGTGGCTGCAACAATGGGCTCAAGCATAACAACGAGTGTGATAATGATGCAGGAACAGGCAGAGTTTCGTTCTGTTGTACATAGGGTCACTACGAGTAGGAACCAACTTGAGGGCACCTAACAACAACAATGATGATGTTGATGAGGTGGGATTAGCAGAAGTTCTGTTAATGGAGCAGGGCTCGATCCATCTGCAAGATTAGATTGTGTTTTAAGTCAGTCTCTTTTGAGATATAAAAGAAAGAAGTGAGTAGAGAGACATTGGGACCTCATACCACCAAGAAACAACAGCCAAGAGAACAGTGTGTCCTTTGGACCCGAGGTCTCTGGGCTGAGAAGCTCCTTGACCAGGGAAGATTGAAGACAAGGACCTTCTCCCAGAGCCGACAGAGAGAGAAACACTTCCGCTGGAGCTGACACCCTAACTTCAGACTTCTAGCCTCCTAGACCGTGAGAGAATAAATTTCTCTTTTTTAAAGCCATCCACTTGTGGTATTTCTGTTGTAGTAGCAGCACTAGATAACTAAGACATCCAGGGTATCTTCTGACTCTGGTCATCCTCTTTCCTCTGAGATTTTGGCCCCTAGTGCCCTGGTTAACTTGGCAGCTATCCAAATGCTTTAAAAATGTTTTATGTGTTTTACCCAGCTTTTCTAGTTGTATCAGCTGGAGGGTTGGTGTTATATACTGAATTGTGTCCTCCCCAAAATATGTGTTCGACTCCTAACCCTTACCTGTAGATGTAATACTGTTTGGAAATAGGGTTTTCTTTGTTAGGTTAATTAGATCATACCCAAGAAAGGTGGGCTCTAAATCTAATCACTTCTGAGTTATTAAAAGAGCAAAATGGACACAGAGACACACACAGGGAGAAGAGGAAGGTGGACTATGAAGACAGATGCATCTATAAGGACTGCTGGCAGCTACTGGAAGCTAAAACAGACAAGGAAGGACCTCCCCCTAGAGCCACACCCTAAATTCGGACTTCTAGCCTCCTAAACTGTGAAGAAATCAATTTCTGTTATTTAAAGCCACACACATATGGTATTTATGTTACAGCAGCACTAGGTAACTAAGAGAGTTGGTCTATTATAAGCTACTCCTCACAGCCAATAGCGGAAATCCTTCTATAATTTATTTACTCTGCCACTTCTGGATGAACATTTAATTTTTTTTTCTTGTCCACTGCTTTTATAAAGAAAGTTGCCATGAGTAACTTGGGCCATCTGTCTTTGCAAATATGTGCAGATATAACTGTTGAATTCCTAGAAATGGAATTCCTTGGTCAAAGAAAGCATACATTTGAAATGTTGGTAGCTCTTGCTAAATTGCCCTCCTAAGAGGTGTTGTATAATTAATGATGTGTGAGAGGGCCTGTTTTCCCAGAGGGTGTGTGCTTTTATGGAAGAGGTCCAGGAGCCTCTTCCATGAACAGCGGATCAGAGATGCCCGGGGATAGGCAGATGAACGTGCCTCCTTAGATTTTTGGTTCCTCCGACTGGCCTCAAGATGGAAGGGAGTCTCTTTCCAAAGTGGAAATCCATGTTTATGCTTGAAGTACGTTTTGCCCCATACTAGAACTGGAACCCAAGGGAAGTGAAAATGAACTGAGCTACAAGGCAGAGCAAGTTAATGAATGGACTCAAGGTGAAGCTTGAGAATTTCCTGCTGTTTTATTAAACTGCTAGGAGTTATGGGAAGGCTGTTTTTACAAACCTTTAAAACTGATAAACTCGCCAGAGTTTTTAAAAAATTTTTCAGTGTTAGTTCAAAGAAAGTTCTTTTTTTTTTCTTCTCTTTTTCTCTTTTTTTATTGGTGTAATTAAATGAAGTTTACATTTCAAGTTAGTCTCCCATACAGAATTTTTTTTTAACATACATTGTTATGAGACTCCAACCGCTCACCCCATTCTGCGACAGCACACTCCTCCCCTCTGCCCCTGATTCCCCGTGAACGTTCAACCAGCGCCTTACTCTCTGCCTTCCCCTCTAACCTCTGGACAGAAGCCTCCCCTTGGTCTCTTATATCTACTTGTCTAAGAGGCACATTCTTCACGAGTATCACTTTATGTCCCACAGACCAGTCCAAACCCTGTCTGAAGAGTTGGCCTCGGAAATTGTTTTAGTTCTGCGGTGATAGAGAGACCAGGGGCCATGCTTTCTGGGGCGCCTCCAGTCATAGTCAGACCCTTAAGTCTGGTCTTCTTACTAGTATTTGAGTTCTGCATCCCATCATTCTACTGCTCCATCAGGGACCCTCTGTTGTGTTCCCTGTCAGGATATTCATTGGTGGTAGCCAGGCACCATCTAGTTCTCCTGGTCTCAGGCTGATGAAGTCTCTGGTTTATGTGGCCCATTCTGTCTCTTGGGCCAATAAAGAAAGTTCTTTTTATCTTCAAACAACTTTGAAGTTCAAATTTTGAAATACAACTTTTCTCTTTTTTGGAATCCTAAAGGTTTTGCACTATTGGGAAATAATGATTTAGATTTTATAAATTTATTTTGGTACTTTAGAGAATGGTTCAATTTTCTAACTTTCCCAGGAACATCAATATGTAACACTGATAACTATCTTTAATTACCCTTTTTCTTATTTGAGAAATTAAGGTGGTGCCTGATTTTGCATTTGGAAATAGTTAATTGTTCAAAGTCTCCTTTTCAATTCAAATTCTTTTTTTTTTTTTTCCTCCCTCTAATTGGTTCCTGGTGGAGAGAACTTAAAACCAAATAGGTGAGTAGCCCTTCAGGAATAATTGAATTAATCATACACTGGTCTCACCAAAATCTTCAGAGGATTTTCTCTGACTGAGAAATTCACAGCAGCCTACTCATGAGAGCATTAGTCTCTAAATGTCAGTGCTACCGTGGACGTCACCTTGTAAGGTAGTTGTCTCCAGTGGGATAAAATTTAGCCAAGAAACCAAAGTTCACCAACCTCACTCCAAGACTTGGTTGTGATGCTGGTCTCTTATTCTTCCTCCTTCCAACAGGAAACAGGCTGCCTTTAGGCTCCATTGTTCCAACATCCCTAGAGTAGTCTGGTTTGCGGTCATGTTTTTGCCTCTCAGATATTTCCTTCTCCACACACTCTGGTGGCCATTTTATTTTATTTTTAGAAAGGGAATCAGGATAGATGACCCAAAATATTGTAGTAACCAAGGTTCCTTGAGTCATGGTGCCTTGATTTATTAATGTCAGAGTTATCTAAGTAAAGCACACCCATAGGTCATGTTCCACAAGAGATTCACTCAGTATTTCATCTAGACTGTTCTCTTCTCCAACTTCGTCTCTTTGCTAACTCATGCCAGCTTTAATCTCAGATTAGCCTATGAACTTTACCCTACTGAAATTTGGGTTGGCATGTCTTTGCATTCTTGATTCTTTGATTCACAGACTAAGATATAAGTTAAGATTTTGTTTGACATAAACCAGAAGCCCGATGAACATGGACTTACACAAGGAGGGAATTTATTTGCCTCATGTGAGAAGATATCTGGGTTTAAAAAGATCAGGGCTAGTATAGTAGCTCAAAAATGCCATCAAGGGACTGAGCTCTTTATCTTTCCACCCCATTATCCTTAGGATGACTGAAGTACCTCCAGTGTCAAGCTCAAATTCCAGTCAGAAAGAAAGAGGAAGCAAAGGAGGCAGAACCAGCTAACATATGCTTATGTCTCATTGATCAGAATTTCAATGGTCTCTCCTAAAGAGTCTTGGAAGTTAAGTTTCAGCTTTCTAACTTCTATGGTAGAGGAAGGTATGGAAGGAGATGGGAATGGGTTTTGAGTGAGCCAATTTACAGCATCTACCACTACTAGGTTTGGGCTTTTTAACATGTGGTCCTACTCATTCTAGATTTTGTTTTCATTTTTCACCACCAAGAGACTACAGCTACTACTTTGCATTCTGTTGCTGAGTAGGACAATGAAGGCCAAAATGTAAACAGTGTTTGTGGTTTG